ATTGCAGGACACTTAAAATCGTGTTGTTTCTTTCTGTGCAAATAACTTAATTTTTATAGTAGTTTTTGAATATAAAATAAATTATGTACTTTGCTATTTTCTCGCTATTTAATTGGTCTAAATCGTGAACCCTTTCGCCGTAACATTCAAATAAAAAAATACTGATATTTACCTCCAACGAGTAGCAAAACACGAAGCACAAAAACAATAGCAAAACTTTATATACTAAGTGACATATAAATCCGAACACCCAGTTTAAATGGTTTTATTTTAATAAAAGTCGGTGAATATATTTATCTTACTGTAAATAACAAGTGAACAAATTTTCAGCCTTATCAGTTGGACATTCCGGTTTTTATACTGCTTTTTTTTAATTCACTAACGCTCTAAAAATGAATATTTTAGCCTCAGTAAAGAATCAACGTTGGCGGATTTTGGTTCTTGACATCCTTTACGATCGGTTACGATGCCTAGAGTACGGAGATCTGTACGATTTCGTCAACTTAGTGAGTTTGATAGGGGCCGTATAGTGGGACTTCGGGAAGCTGGACTTTCTTTTCGGGCAATTGCAGTTAGAGTGCAAAGAAGTGTAGACACTGTGGTTAGGTGTTGTCAGGCATGGCTTCGAGAAGGCCGTATGCAAAGAGCAAGGGGCACTGGACGCCGCCATTGAACAACATACCGTGAAGATCGCCGCCTAAAATTATTGGCCTTAAGGGACCGTTTCTCCACTACCACATTGCCAAAATGAATGGTTTGCAGAACACGGAAGACCTATTGGCGACGAATAAGAAGTTTTGGCTTGTTTTCATACCGGCCACACTGGGTCCTCCCTTTAACTCGAAGGCGACGTGGTGAAAGGAGGAATCCACAGTTTTTTGTTGAAAGACATGTTCATCACACTGTTGGAGTTATGGTTTGGGATGCTATAGCTTATGGTTCCAGGTCACCTTTAATCTTCATCAGAGGTAACATGAACGCGCAGCGTTATATCCACGAAGTTCTAGAACCCCATCTTTTACCCTATCTTGACACCCTGGCAGATCCAACTTTCCAACAAGATAATGCCCGACCACATGTTGCAAGAGTCACAATAGACTTCTTTCAACATAATGATGTCACATTGTTACCATGGCCACCAAGATCTCCCGACTTATCCCCAATTGAGCACGTGTGGGATATGATGGGTAGGAGATTGCTCAATTTGCAACGTCCTCCTCAGACTCTAGAAGCTCTTCGAGAGGAGTTGGTGGTTGCCTGGAATGAGATACCACAGGAGGACATTGACCACCTGATCAGAAGCATGCCTAGGCGCGTTGGAGAATGCGTAGCACATCAGGGTGCATCCACACATTATTAAATGTCAAAGGGCTTTAAAACAGTGCAATCATTTTGAAATTTTTATCATTTACTTATTATGCTTCATTAAGTACTTATACAAAATTTTATTAAAATAAAACCATTTAAACTGGGTGTTCGGATTTATATGTCACTTAGTATAATTAATAATGTTACTGGAATTAAATCAGTCTTGGTACACTTTTAAACAAGATAAAAGTTTCTTTTATCCAATATTTCTAGGTTAGAAATAGTGCGCGGAAATGCACCCAGTAACTCTAATTCTGTAACCACTTTAAGATCAGTCTCCACTTGCTATTAAGACTGTCAGGTCGGCAGTGATAGTGGAGGCAGTATTTCAATAACTCCCTAATATCTATTTTCTGCATAGTTTTATGAGAACAGTTTTATTAATTAATGTTTGAATTAAATACAGGGTATTTTTAAAGTTGTGTCATTTATTTTAACTGCTTCTAGGACTCGTCAAAAGGAGTTAGTATACCAACAATCACATATATAAAAGTTGCATAATAAAAGAAATAGTAAAAGATTAAAGTTTAAAAAAATAAGAATGTTATTACACGGAGTTTTTTGATATTCTCTCTCACTGCCGTGTAAAATCTTAGCTTTTTTTGTTCACTACTCTTATCGTTGATCTAAATTTGGCAAACTTTTTGTGTTATTGTATGGTTTTCAGTACGAGTCTTTGGTTCAATCAGTTGTATCGGTCTTTTAATAGTGCATATGCTTCCATCTGTCTGATTATTTTGTGCGAAAAAATGGCTCATATTTAAGAAAACAATGAACTAGTGGACACAATCCTAACATTCGGAGAGTGCCAACAAAATGCCGCCGCAGAATGGCGATTGTATGCGGAAAGGGTTCCTCTGAGAAATCATCCGAACCCACGGATGTTTGAAAATCTATATATTAGACTTCATGACATAGGGTACTTGAAAGAACAACGAGGACCCAACAATGAGTACTATATCAATAGCAGCTCAAGTTGAAGTTTCTCATAGTAAAGTGACAATACGACATGAACAGAATTATCTTTATCATTATCAACGGGTCTTGTACCCGTTATAACCTGAAGATCATCTTAGAAGGGTTGCATTTTGCCAGTGGCTTTTAGAACAGTTTGGCAGAAATTAATATTTTACGAAATTAATTTTGTGTACAGACAAGGCCACATCTACATGAAATAGAGTGCACAATTTGCACAACAATCATATTTGGGCAGTAGAAAATCGACATGCTGTGAAAAGAACTCATTTTCAACATATATTTTCATTAAATGTTTGGGCTGGCGTGGTCAATGGCATGTTTATTGGACACTTTTTTTGACCTCGACTGACATGTGAAATTTATTTAGATTTTCTTCGACATAATCTGACACAATATATGACAACATAATAGGAAATATAAAAACTTTTGCTCGACAAAATAAACACCCTGGTGTAACAAGAATATTAAGGCAGCTCAAAATTTGAGAGACAAACAATACAAAAATGTATATTCACAAAATCAAATGATGATTGGGAGGTATAAAACTCTTAGGAATAAATGTGTGTATGTAATTAGAGAAGAAAAAAGGAAATTCTACGATAAGTGCGACATTGTAAAGATGTGGAAGACTTTAAAAAGACTGATCAATTCGAAGCCGCATGATTGTGTAAATCAAGTTCAATTCGAAAACGGTACCGAAACAAATTCTTTGGTGATTGCAAACAAAATTTCACAGCGTATCATTGAATTATCTAAGAAAAAAAAGTAAACAGTTTAAAATCAAATAACAACTGTGCCGAAATCACTACTAAAAACGTGCTGAAAACTGTTTCGAAATTTGGGATATCCTGTATTAAATTGGATCAATTGTTCACTGAGAAAGCAGTCCTTTCCTGAAAATTGAAATGCTCTACAATAACACCAGTTCCCAAAATAAAAAAATTCTAAAAGATGCAGCGATATGAGACCAGTAAATGTGTTACCAGACATTGAAAAATATTAGAGTCCATAGTGCATGACCAATTAATGCAATTTATAGAAGAAAACAAAATTTTAGTGGAGGCGCAAGCAGGCTTTCAAAAAAAATATTCCACAGAAACGGCTTTCCAGTTGGTAACTGAGAATTGGAGAAGAGCCATAGACTCAGAAGAAGTTGTCATAGTAGTATTTTTGGATTTGAAGAGGGCATTTGAAACGATTGATAGAGATATTTGTTAGGTAAATTGAAGGCATATGGTACAACAGGAAGTGTTTTAGATTGGTTTAGAAATTATTTGTCTAAAAGGATGCAAGTTACAAAAGTTAATGACACCATTTCATCAAAAATTGAAAATACGTTGGGTGTTCCACAGGGCAGTATCCCGGGACCACTTCTTTTTATTTTATACATAAATGATTTACCTGCCATAGTAAAAAAATGCAAAATTCAGATTTTCGCCGATGACACTATGATTTATATAAGTACTAAAAATATTCAGACTGGTATCTCTTATATAAACGAAGACTTGAAACTTGTCTCAAAATGGTTAGCATCTAACAGACTAAATTAAATACAAGTAAAAACGAAAGCCTTGTTAATCGGAAAAAAACAATGTACAAATGTTCAACTGAATATTGATGGTGAAGATATTGAATTCGTAGAAAATTTTTAAATACCTGGGAGTTTTTGTTGACTCTCGATTAATTTTGATATTCATTATGAAAAAGTTATAAATAAGATTAGTAGTAAAGTGGGATATTTATCGAGAGTTTCTGGATGTCTTAGTTCATATAGCAGAAAAATTATCTATAATACCAACATTCTCCAAATTTCTTGTTCTGTTCGACTATTATATATTTAGCAAATAATTCCATTTTTTAAAGATTGCACAATTTTACAAAATAAGTGCGTGAGAATAATACTAAATAAAGATAAATATACTCCAATTAGGCAAATGCTTAGCAAATTAAAATGGCTCAATATAAAAAATTTTATCAAATATCTTGTAATGATATTCATTTATAAAGTAAAAAATAATATATTTCCATCAAGTCTAACTAATTTAACATCATCAAATGTCGACCATCATAATACCAGAAATAAAGATGACTTCCATTTAATGACCAAAAAGTATAACATATGCTACAAATCTGTATTCCATCAAGGGTTGATTGAATATAATAAATTATACTCGGAGATAAAAGACCAGAAAACTTTGACAGAATTTAAAGTAAAATTGAGAAATCACTTGTTAAATCTACAATTACAGCTTGCCCAGCATTTACATCATACACCATATGGCTTGAATTTACTAGTTTTAAGTTATTTACAATTATTCTGTTTATGTAGCCAAATGTACTAAATAAATATTTCTACTACTACTACTACTACAATTATTAGATGTTCCTCTAAATGTGAGACAGAATACGTGGTTCCTACATGATGGGGCTCCACCACATTTTAGACGAGAAGTTCTTGGACATCTAAAATGAGTTTCCGAATAGATGAATAGGGCGCAATGGGCCCATTTCTTGGCCTGCTCGCTCCCCGGATTTAATGCCTTGCGATTTTTGTCTGTGGCGCTATTTGAAGGAGTTGGTGTATCATGATGGAGCGGTAAATACTCTGGAAGAACTTCAACAGCACACTGAAAATGCTTGTGATTTAATTCGTGAACACCACGCTTTTATTTTCGAAGCTTGTAAAGAGTCGAGCAAGATTTTGCGTTATTGCAACATATGGGGACAATTTTGAACAGTTTTTGCGAAAACGGTATCCATTTAACTTGATAATAATTTATTTGAATAATTTTTAATAATGTAAACTAACTCTCTTGTTATGCAACTTTCATATAGGTGACTTTTAGATATATCAACTTCTTTTGACGATCTCTACAAGCTGTGAAATAAATGACTCAACTTTGAAAACACCCCGTATAAATGTTCATATAAATTATTTGTGGAATTGAAAATGATCCCAACATCTATGTAAGCTAAGTCTAAGTAGTGAGGTATGTTATACTGAATGCTATTATCTTTTCAGTGCCGTCTGATAGTTGCTCAGATGAGCCACACCAGGTGTGAGATCTTCAACTGTCTATTAATTCCTACCTCAGTGGTTGTTGGTATTGCGGTTGTCACCAGGCTACAAACGTTAGAACTGTTTTTAACGTATGCGCTGTGTGTAGTTGCAACATTAACGCATCTGCATTACGGAACATCAGTGGTGAGTATGCTTAATAGGCCGAAACTTTCTACAGTTTTCATAATGTTGACACACGGTTTGTGTAAGAGTATTATTACCGGCAACAAGGTGGTCACGTTACCGGTGGAACAAAGTACCTGAAACAAGTACATTTGACCCCCAAGACGTCAACGTAGTATCCAGCTTAATGCTGGCAACAGCTTGATTATCATTATTAATGACAAAAATATACATTGAAATCAATTTGGACATATTTGCGACAGGCTGGTGATAGAGAACCCCACACTAACTGCTAATTGAATTCGAACCGTCGGCATCGATTTATTGAAGTAAATCGAAATATAGTAATGGGCAAAAGTACATAGACAAATTAATATTGTGCTGTATTTCTTTTTAACTTGTTTTATTAATACACCAACCTGTATACATAATTCGTTATAGCATAATACTCACTTACACATAATAAATTCATTAGACTCCCTTCAATAAAGAATTAATTGAAAAAACAGGAACTATGAAGGACAAAAATATATAGACAAAGCAAAACGATTATAGAAAAAAGAAGCAAAGTTCATTGAATTATAGAAAACCAACCATGTTTGTGTTAATATTTTGTAGCATAACCATTATTATCAATCACCGCCTGGCATCGTCTCGGCATAGATTGTAGAAGTTTCTCGATACAAGATTCATCAATCTCTCTCCACTTTTGCTCTAAAGCGGCAAAAAGTTCATGCTTGTTTGAATAATTTTATCTTGTATTTGCTTAGCTAAGTATTCACATAGATTTTCAATGGGGTTTATATCGGGAGACTGTGATGGCCATTTGAGAACTGGTATTTTTTCATCCAGAAAGAATTTCTTTGCGAGATTTGAAGTGTGCTGCGGGTCATTATCTTGCTGGAAGATGATCTTAAGTTCATATTGTCTTCCATATAGGGTAACATGACATTCTTTAGTATGTCTGTGTATACAAACCTATCCATAATGCCATCTATTCCATGTAAAGGTCCCATCTCAGACCCCGAAAAGCACCCCCAAACCATAACAGACCCGCCTCCATGTTTGACAGTGGGCAAAGTGTACTTGGGGTTCAATCTTTGTCCACTAGGACGTCTAACGTAATGAACACTATCTGATCCAAACATATTGCACTTGGATTCGTCACTGAAACATACCCTCTTCCAGTCACAGATGGTCCAATCAAGATGCAACCGTGCAAATTGTAATCGGTCCTTACGGTTTTTCCTCGAGATTAGCGGCTTCTTACTCGGGTGAAGTGTAAATAACTTCAAATCATTTAATCTTCTACTTATAGTTCTCGTAGAAACACTGACAATTCCTTTTGTCCCGATTTCGGCTTTTATTTGTCTTGGGGTTTTAAACGGATCTTTGGACGAAATTACTTTTTTAATCTAACTGATCTAGCATTTAGCTTTCTAGGCCGACCACTTCTCTTAGAGGCTTCAAAGATACCTTTTTGTTCATATATGTTCAATATTGCCCAAACTGATTTACGCTTCAGCTTCAAATTTCTGGCAATGTCGACTTGACGTTGACCATCTACGTATAACTCAATGATCTTAGTTTTCACATCGAAATAAATTTCAGGACCACGTGGCATGGTCTTAAAATCACTCAACTTATTTCACAATACTTGATGAACACAAGCTACTCTTCTGACACGAAACTGCACTAAACTAATGTGGAAAAGAATTTGTCTACATATGTTTCTCCCTTAAGAAGTGCTTATATTCAGACTTGTATTGTGTTCATTGCAAATAATGTAAAACAAGGAATTTAGTTTTTCTACTAATAACGCATTTGTTTATGGAGCAATGAAGTATGAATTCGTTTTCTAAAGGTGTATTTTGTGTAAATAATCATATTTGTCTATATACTTTTGTCCATTACTGTATATCGATTACGATATTTAAAAGCGAAAGATGGATATACAAGATGTTAATGAAGTATGTAAATGTGAATTCAACAGATGCTTCTTTGAGTAATTTTAAGACAAACAGTTGATATAAACATTGGTCCGCAGTGATCGGTATGTAAGTATTGTATTTGGCGCTACTGTATTTGTACTGGAAAATTATTGAAAATAAAAAAGAGAATGTGGATACATCCAATCATCGCAAAGGCAGCAAAAAGGTCATTTTCAGACATTGTTTGCTGAAGTACAAAGAGATGAAACATGTAATACGGATAGCCAATAAAGAATTTTAATTTGCCATTATTTCTTGTACTGTTCGACTATTCTATGTTTAGCAAATAGTTCCATTTTTGAAAGACTGCAAATTTTACAAAACAAGTGCATGAGAATAGTACTGAATAAAGATAAATATACTCCAATTAGACAAATGCTTAGCAAATTAAAATGGCTCAATGTAAAATTTTTTATCAAATATCTTGTAATGATATTCATCTATAAAGTAAAAAATAATATATTTCCATCAAGTCTAACTAATTAAACATCATCAAACGCCGACCATCATTTACATAATACCAGAATAAAGATGACTTCCATTTAATGACCAAAAAGTATAACATATGCTACAATCTGTATTCCATCAAGGGTTCATTGAATATAATAAATTATACACAGAGATAAAAGACCAGAAAACTTTGACAAAATTTAAAGTAAAATAGAGGAATCACTTGTTAAATCTACATTTATAGCTTGCCCATCATTTACATCATACATCATATGGCTTGAATTTACTAATTCTAAGTTGTTTACAATTATTCTGTTTATGTAGCCAAATGTGCTAAATAAATCTGTCTACTACTACTACATAAATAATTTATACCTACCTAAGTGCTTCTTTTCGTCAATTGTGCTGCTTTCTTTGGCAAACAAATTTTTTATTACCGCACAACATTTTCTTCTCATAACTCTATGGCTGTGTTCGTTTTTCCTCATATCCCAAAGTGGCGGTGGATTTTATACTTCGCCAATTAAATTAACATTATCAATTTTTTGTCTAGCCATTTCTATACAAAACGAGTCGACAAACGTACCTGTCTTAATAGAGCTATCTAAAGACGTTGGAAGACACCACGCGTCACAAAATTAAACCGACTCGATTCCTGAGATCCGCATGAAAAGACAGGCGTGACTATTAATGGTATATTACAGGGGCACCGAGTCGATAAACTCTTCGGTTAAAACCGCTGTCTGTCTTCACTCTTAGTTTTGGAGATATCCCTGGACCACTCAAGGAATATGGGGAAAAGTTTCTTTTGGAAATTATTTATAATTTTTCATTCCTAATTATGTAACATCAACAATAAATACTAGATAATATTAACATCTAGACTAACAAATTTCACTAAATTAAGAATTGGAAATGGCCCCCTTCGGCTTCAATACAACCGTGTAGCTGTCTCACGAATGAATTACGCACCTTCATGAAAATACCTGGCGTATTTTTTATTATGTCACATGAATCTATGATTCTATTCCGTAAATCATCTTCACTTTCAGTAGGAGTTTTGTATACCAATGCTTTAAGGTGTCCCCAGAGAAAACAAATCTACGGTATTCATATCGGGCGAGCGAGGAGGCCATAGATGTGGGCCTGTTCTCCCAATCCAGCGATTATGGCAATTTTCATCAAAAAATTGCAGCGCCACTGCACTAAAGTGTGGTGGAGCCCCCTCGTGCATGTACCACATACGGATCGTTCCGTGTCTGGGACTTCATCTAAAAGTCCAGGTAAAACAAATTCTAAAATCTTCTCCATTAAGTCCAGGTGGAAGAGAACGAGGCCCAATGAGATGGTCACCGATAATTCCAACCCAAATATTAAAGAAAACTTTCTTGTAGGTTATGTTCTCTTGAGGCGTATGGATTGTTTTCTGCCCAAATGTGAAAGTTATTAAATTGCGAGAAAAACAAGCTTCATCTGTAAACAATATTCGACTTAAAAAACTTGGATTCCTTATCATTTTACTGTATAACCAATCAGAAAAAGCTAGTCTTAAATTTCTAAGCAATAGAGCTTGCACACGGTGCATATGATATGGATATACCTGCTGGTCTCTCGAGATCTGCCACACTGTAACGGGTACTATTCAATTCTTCAGCTGTTTTCCGAGTTGCAGGCCTCCCAATGACAACCGTCGCTCTTTTAAAGCTGCCTGTTTCCGAAATTCGTGCATGGAGACGTAGAAAAGTTCTTCTATTAAACACTACACGCTGAGGAAATATTTCATCAGAAATACATCTTGCAGCATTATAGGTTCCATGAGCCCTTCTATAACAGACACGCATATCTGCCATTTCACTATTATTAAATTGTACCATATTGGACAAACGTAACCACTAAAACACTTTTTGTAAAAATTATAAATTGACGACTGTCAAGTTGCTTACTAAGTGCCATATCCTACAATTATATTACGCCTTTATAGCCTCCCTGATTTTCATAGCGTTTTCTCTCCTTCAAAAAGGCTGGGGTATTTCTAGATTTCACCTGTTCCGTGTTAGCGTCTTAGCGTCACCGCTCTCCTAGTGTGAAGTTAGGTTTTCTTTATGAATTGTAGGAAATTTTATTCTGATAAAACAGATGATATAAATCAAAAGCATGAAAAATTTGATGACATACCTCAAAATAGAGCGCTGACGCGGAACAGTAGAAAACTATGACAATCAAGGAGGCCATAAAGTCATTCTACAGTTGTAGGAACGGTTGACGATACGGCCCTTAATGCCGCAATCGTTTTCCAAGGCAACAACCCTTGATTATTATTTACTATTCCTTAGTTCAATAAAATTCATTAGTTCAGATGATAATTTATGTAATTTAATTTAGTGTTTATTTGTTGATGTTCTAATTTCCAAAATAATATTTCCCCATATTCCTTGGTATATGGCGTACATTTTTAATAAGTTAATAAATTTAATCAAGCTAGGGCTAAATTAGCTCCTTAATGTTATAAATACCACACCTAAATTGCAACAAAATTGGGATATTTACGAAACACCATTTTTTATTTTATCTTGAAAACGAAGAATTGGCGGACTATGTTTAAATGAACTTTTTGTCTTAAAATTACTCAAAGAGTCGTCTGTTATATGTATCGTACATTACTATATTTTTCATGTAAAATAGTAAAAGCCACGCTTAAAAGTTTGAGTTTATGCTGCTATCAGATGCTGCTTACAAATGCTATAAGGTCATATGGGCCAAACATGGCGGTCACTGTCGTCGCATGTCTAAGAAAATATATATTTTAAATTAGTTTTACGGTCGTTAAGGTTTGAAAAAATATAGCATTAATTTTTTCAACTAACCCATTATTGTCCGGTCTAAAAAAATCCTTGTACTTGAGTATAAATGACGCAGTTGTCGTTAGAAGACTACTATCTATTCTCAATGCTTCTAAATGTTTTATTTTCAGGTAAGACAAATGTGTAAGCACTTCAAAGTAAATTGCTTCACACTAAAGGATCGCACGGATTGACTCCTTGCCGACAACGCATGAGAATGTGTTGTCTCTCGGAGCCACCCTCAGGAGGTGTTATTATTTATGATCCATACCACTTGTTGTATATATTTTGTATAATTTGGACTTACTAGTGTAACTTTTTGTTGTTGTGTGCTGAGGGTGCGTACAGAGATCTGCCTAGTTATTTTTATGCTATGATTTTTGTAATGAATTCTAAAAGAGCCTTTTTATTCCTCTATTTTGTGCCAGTATGCATTGTAGGTTTGTTTTGTTATGTGAAATAAAATTCATCAATTATATTCGTACTCATTTGCGGTTTATGTCGTATTTGTATGGAATGTTTTGCGGATGCCGCAGGTGGTATACGTAAATATCGATATAAACGTCATTACAAATAGGTAATCTAGATGAAAAATAAAGGACAATCGTCATCTATGCCTGATGAAGCAAGTAAGCAGAAACCAGGTCTGCTGGCGAATAACTTTTCGTTCCGCCTCACTTTTACTCTTTATTGAAAATATTCACTTTTCACACTATTTTCACTCTCGCTGTTTATGGACGTCTTCGAAGAAGCTGTCCTCCTTTTCGCAAGCCCCACGAAATTAAATGACGTGTTTTTTATGAAAATTATCTATGATGATAGTTGAAATCTACGTTGAATTTAAACTCAACTTTGCTAAAAGCACTCTATATATGGTATATGCACTGGGTATTTAAAATTCGGAAACGGTAAGCATTGCAATACAAGCCAAATTTGCGCATTTAGAGAAGAGACGGAAAATATGAATGTAATCTGAACCATTTTCATTTTCTCCTGGCTTAATTTGTGTTGGGCTTTCAATTTAAACTGCTTTGTAAAAGTAACTGTTACAATGTTAGTTCATTAGCATGCATTGTGGGACAAATCTTGAAATTGAATTTTGGACCAATTAACCTTAACCGATTGAACTAACATTTTGTATGCCTGTCTACATAATGGTGATTTATCATTTCCATAGCATATAATATGGGTATCAATGAAAGAACGTGATGAGGGAAACACAATAACCAAAGTGTCGTCATTTCAAATCAAATGTATCGACCGTCGCAAGATGGCGTTTATAATTTCTATAGTTACCCATATTATACGGTTATCGACTGAAAGGGCTTGAACATTGATTATAATTTCGATAGTCACTCCCATATTATGGATAACAATGAAAGAGATGATGAAACACAATAAGCAAAGTGACGTCATTCTAATCGGAACGTTTTAACACGTTCAATGCCACTGCCGCCTATTGGCGACACCGATGTCTAAACTGCTGTGCCTCCGTCGCCATAGGGCGACGCTGTGATCTATTATTATATGGTGCTTCAGGTGGCATACATTTTAAACATTTTTGGGAACTTTTACGTAAGCTGTTTGTCCTAAATTCTACCTGTAGTGCCAGTGTCGCCATCTAGCGACCAAAAAATATTTGTACTCAGGTAAGAAAATATTCGATAATTACAATTTAAAATGCGAAAGGCTTTCGCGGCCATCATCCAATGTTATTTGGTTGGTTTTGGGTAGTTAGACCGTCGCAAATTATTTTTTTAAAATTACAATATATCGCTCTTTTAGTATCATTTTAAGCAATTTTCAGGCAAAAAAAATTAAAAACCCCCTTGTCCCCTGACTACATGTAACAACATTTTACTGGCAGCGAACGTGTTAATATGACAATTGACATGGAGATGATCTCATGATGAAGCCAGGAAGTGGACATGGGAACCCATCGAATAAAGCCTCACTCAATTCCTAATGACATGTCTGATGACTAACTTAGTCAATTATTGTGTAAACAATACTCATCTATAATAACATATCAATTTTCAACTTTTTCAACATTATATAATTCGTTAAAATGTGGGTTCAATCAGTTGGGCAAGAATACTCATTAGATATAAGTACGTCTCCTGTATTTACAAGAATTCGTTATATTTTTGTGTTTCATGCGTGGTATGAATTTGATTTGATTTTTGCTTCCGTCAATATAACAATAACAAATACCTTATAAGAGTTGTTCTCGTTTTTTTTCGCACAAACGTTTGCTCACAAAATTACCAAGACATATTCCAAATAAATTAAATATTAACGCATGGGTACTTCAAGGTTCAGTATTAGCTCCGCAGGGGGATCCTGTAAAGACCTATAAAACGTCAAAAAAACCTATAAGATGTCATCTTGCAAACTAGTTAGTTTTTAGGGTGCAAACTGTCATTCCCCGTTTGCTCACTAGGATCGTTGTGAACGTCCATCTAGGAGGAATCACTCAACTAAACTAAACGCATTATTGGTTGCATATGTTTTGTGAGATCAAATGGTTCTTGTCTGTAGTGTTTATCACTGAGAACTTTACAATGTTCTCGAATCAAGAGTTGGTCGACATGTTGTTAGTTTACGGTTAAGCTCGTCAGAATTCACCTATCGCTCGGGTTACCTATCCTATTTTCTGCTCGAATCCACTTTCCTCTTTTTTGCGGATTTTGCCGTTGTCGTTTTTTTCCCCTCTCCATCTTCGTTTCCTCGGGTTACACCCGTATCCGGATGTGTGGGCATGTGTATCTACTTTTGTAGTTTCATATGTGCATTCATTTCGGGTCTGATGAAGCCAACCAGCAGAAATACGTATCGCTCGGGTTACCTATCCTATTTTCTGCTCGAATCCACTTTCCTATTTTTTGCGGATTTTGCCCATTATTTTTCTACTTTATATATACAGGGTGTCCGCAAAGTTGGGGTTTTCCTTTTCAGAAACAACTACCCTTGAAATAACAAAGGTAATGTGTAGTGAAACGAGGGCGACCAAGTAAAAAAAATAAAGGAAACGGTACTCACTCTCCAGTTGACGAGAAGGGCTAAGTACGTCTCTGCCCTAAATCATACCGCTCCAACAGAAAATGAAATCAGCTGAAGCGCTATCGAGCAGACGCAGAAACTACATTGATTGTCTTACACTTAATGGCACATCTTCTAACAAGGAATGCAAAATGTTGCGTGAAAAGTCTAGGTATTGCATCCCGTCCAATCGATTTGGGAGAATAAATGGTCCAATGAGCATACCGTTCACCATGCCAGTCCAAACATTCACCGAAAATGTTTGTTGAAAATGTGCCCGACGGACAGCGTGCGGATTTTCTACTGACTAAACATGAGTGTTACGAAAGTTATTCACCCCATTACGCGTGAACGTAGATTCGTCTGTCACCAATATGCACTTCAAAAAGTCCGGATTATTGTCATGTTGATGCAACAACCACTCACAAAACCGCACTCTTGCTGGAAAATCGTCAGGTTGAAGGGCTTGTACACGTTGGACGTGAAACGGATACAGCCCCTCTTCACGCAGCGTTTGCCACACTTTAGTTTTTGATACTTGCACTTCTCTAGCCACGTCTCTAGTGCTTGTTGTTTTTTGAAACGCAATCGATTATACGAGTTCGTTTACCTCTACACGCGTGACCATAACCGTCGGTTGAAGGTTGCATACTAACCTGACACGATGACCCCGACCCAGTTCTGCCGTCGGGTTGAGACCTTGTACCACTGGGTGATGTCCCGGGTCGCGGCTACAGGACGGTATTCAGATATTTTTGATGTTGCAGAGCCCTTTATCTATCTCGGTTCCCTTAAGACATGGGTGTATATGGTACTAAGAAAAATTGCTTATGTTTTCAAGATGCCTTTGTTAATGTAGTACAAAGGGCTCGTGAATCAGGTGACTTAAGACCTCACAGGGGAGGGCATGCCGGTGCTCCAAGACCGCACGATCAAATACAGGTCCGCACTGAAATACTTGTCGGGAGGATACTTTATAAAACAAGGTAACATTTTTTTTATTTTATTTTTTATTTTTACACACATATTCTGGTTTATCTTCCTCCTACAATCATTATCTGAAAATTAATGACTCAACTTCAAAGTCACCCTGTATATAAAAGTATAGCAATCTCAGATATATTTGTAGAGCTGGCAAAGTTGCGGGGTGTTAATGCACAATTTGGCAACCGTGTCGAACCCTCAAAAAATGGCCGCTGACAAACACACAAGTCACCGTGTTGCCAAGTTGCCATTGAATAGTATGGAATTAAACCTCAGACTAAAAATATAAATAGACAAATAATTCCGTACAAAATATCGTCGTCAACATAACTGTATTTACAGTAAACAAATATATGCGACGCTGCCACTTCTCCAGACTGAAAAATCTATTGAAAATGGAATGAGATATTGGTGTGCACTCCGCCCGAAATGAAGGTGGACTTAAATAAGGTGTGGACGCTCCGGTCGATCGTGGGTCGATCAAACAACTGCTCCTAGGCAGTTGTCAATGTCATTTTAAATTTTAAAAATTTATTTTTTCTTTTCGTGTTGTTTATACTCGCAAAAACGGTCACAGAGGTGGCCGACACGCCATAAATTCAATTCAAAACGGATGCAGGTTCATGTTGGGTAATTCATAGCGAACATTACATATAATATTTTGCCCAGTCAGTTGTTTGACTGGATTTGTTCCACCTTGGACGAAACTTGCTCTCATTCGAAACTAGCACATTTCTACCGACTTTTTGCCGAACGTGGCAACGGTGTTCAACGGCAAGTGGTGGATGCGTATGCGTACACAGAATTTACAAACATCTGGTGTTTGTTGTTGTGCACGGTGAATTTGTTGCGAGTATTCAAAAATGTTTTCAGGTTGTTTTAGCGGCAATTATAGCATTGTTATCATTGATAGACAATTTTCAAAGACAATGGGACGTCGGAAGTGCATTCTTTGTGGAGTTAGCAGTGAAAAAACTGAGGCAACCTTCCACAGGTGAGTTAGAGGTTAGAGGAGGACAAGGGCGTAGCGCATGGGGATGCGTTGTGATTTTTAGTATTAAGAAATAGACATTTTATAGTTATTGGTTGTTTTTACACTGTATGTGTGGTGATTTTCAAAAAATACTCTTCTGTTAGACACGTTTTTGATCTTTCAGGTTTCCTAGTGATAAGAAAAAACAAGAAGAATCTCCAATGGGTGAATGAAAAGATGAAAGTTAAACTTGGCGTCCAGACTTTGAGCAAGAGTGTTGCAGAAGCATTGGACTTTTTGAACAAAGATCTGGCTATGGCTGACTTCAAGGATTCAGAAGCTACAGCATATTTTTGTAGAACAGTAAACAATTTATTTGATGTTTTTAATTCAAGGAATAGGATGTCAAAATACCTTATGAGAAACCGT